ACTTCGCGGACGTGCATGTTGAGGACTTCATCCTACCTTTGCACCGCATATTCTGGACTAATCGCAGGCTGAATTTCAACCTGTCCCTGAAGTTCATCCACTGCCCCTTGCTTGTGCTGGCATGTGCTGAGGGCACTGATGTCGTGGTCCCAGATGAATGTACAATCTACGGGTTCAGACCGCACTTTGACAAAAACATCGCAGAGAACAGACGACCTGACCTATGTTGCTGTGCTGGATGGACGGTTGTCAAATCAAAAGGAATGATAAATGTGCAGTAGGCAGGCCCACGGTCCTGAATGTCATTTTGCAGCTTGTCTGCCTAGGTGTGGCAGCTACGACCGGTTGAGGATCGAGCAGCTGGCGCGCTGAGCCACAAACATGAGGGTAGAGCCTTGCAAAGAGCGCAATGCTGGCAATCACTCAGAAGCACAGCCCAAGCCCAGCGACTTGGCCTGATCATGACCAGCGCTTGCGGACGGCAACCACCCGCGATCCCCTTATCCCTCCTATGAAGGACAAGGATGCATTTTTGCTGCTTGTCGCATCTTATCGCTGTGGCCTGGTGACACCCGCCGTGCTGTCCAAAGCGTCCTGAGCCATAAGCCCTGAATAGTAATTCCATTTCATCTTGAATCACCCCGATCCATCCCTATATATCCCTGCATACTTTTCCGCTGAGTTCAGTCTTTGAACCTTGTGGCTGGCGTGTGAACCAATTTGCCTTGAGCAAGGTAGTTCGGCAAGTGTTCAAGTGTTCATGCAACCCTTCCACTCATAATCGTGCTTCTGAACCTATTGTCCCCTGGCATTTTTCTCTGATGATGGATGCAAGCATCTGTACATGTCCATCGGGCTGCCTTCCCAGAGGAAAACAGCGCAAAGTAATTGCCAGCTCTTTGACAGCCGGATCATGCAAGGAAGTGTAACAAAAAACATGGCGCCACGCTGTGGTATGCTGCTAGATTTTTCAAGCCCTGCTTTGAATCACGCTGTGAAGCTGCTGAAGGTCGTCTGAGAGTAGCAGGTCGATCTGCTGCTGCCGATAGACCTGATAAAGAAATGGCCTTTGAACGAAACACTTCTAGCATAAAGTGTAAGATCTGCACATCATACGCTCTTTGAAGCAGCAAGTCGTCCTCGCAAGCAAGTCTTCAGCCGGATGTTTTCCAAGTCAATACTTCTCCAGCTTGGCTTAGTTCGCTGTGTTGATCAGATGAGGTCATTGGCCGAGCGCTACTTGGACATTCCTTTTGGCAAGCGGGCGCAAATATGCTAGGCCCTGCTAGGCCAGGCTCCAGTCACAAACAACACCTACAGACAAAAATGGGTAACCAGGGCCGAAGCACGAATTGGTCTCAAGTCAATGGCTGAATCTCCTGAGCGCCAGCTGCAGCTTTGTTGCTTTGGTGCGGGCCTGCAATGCAGCATAGCGAAGCATACCGAAATCCAGAGAACAACGCATCTGGATTTGATGGCCTGGCCTGGCAGCGCTGAGCTGATCGGTGCCTGACGCAAGGCGCAAGGCAGCCCCGATCTGACAAGATGACTTCAGCACAAGGACCTGCCCCTTAGACTAGCGTAGCCTATCCAACGGGCTCAGGCACTGCCGCTGCAGCTATTTCAAGAAACAGCAACAGTAGCTTTTCTGTGTCTGCTGGCAAGCGAACCTCGATCCATGACAGGTGAAACATTTCAGGCTGGAGCAAAGCCAAATACAACGTCCTTAGTTGTTAACCTCTTGTAGACTGCGGCGAAGGTCTGCAACCTGCTTTCAGTGCTATCTTTGCTCTTGTCCTTGGGGTCCAGGAGTACTTTGATTACCTTGCGGCCATCGACACTGATGTGGGTGCGTTTGCCAACAATTTCGCTTGGCCCCACAACGTCCTCCAGAAGTGCTTCATGGACTGATGTCAAAGTACGACTGCGGGGCCGCACTTTTAAGCCCTGCCGCTTGAAGTTCTTCTCGAGAATAGTGCGCGTAGCGACCAGTGCAACGTGGCTTCGACCGAATTTCTTCTCCAGCTCCCGGATAAGTCTTCCTTGGACCTTCTTCACAACATTCCAAATCCGGCAAGGAAAATGTACAATTACTGCAGAGCCACCATTGCCAACTTGTACCTCTGTGGCCCCGGACACATAGAGTTCCTTGATCTCTGCCTTGAAATCGCACGAGGGGGAAACCTCAATGTCGAAAAGAGCTTTGGCGATCTCTTCCTCCAGGTCTGTGACAGCTGCCCCACTCTCTTTCACAATCTTCTTGCGAGAGTTAATCATGCGTGCTCTGTTGATGTGTTCCTGTGCTTTGAGAGTGAGCCTGCACAGCTGTGGGAATACTGCTGGTAGCAAAACATCTTGTAGCACTCACCGGGCTGGCTAGTCACCCCACAACTGGACATAGTTTTGCAGTGTGCCTGAAAAGCATCCGGTTGGCACGATCTAGCCTCGGATTGCGTCTCGGCCTATGAAAAGCGCATTATCTAGTGATAGCTATCTACTCTTGTTCCCACAACAGGAGCACGCAGGATTTTCGGACCTTTGGCTGGAGCAAACGCCTTTACAAAACTCAGGCAGCTGCGACGGGTGCAGACGGCCTCCGAAATTTCGCATGGCAGCATGACAGGCCATTGAAAACCGGAGGTCATGCTCGCCGCGCCATGGTTTGGAGAATCAAAAATGCATTGACATCAGAAGCTGCCATGCCTCCACCCGCCCATGTCTTGAAGCTCGGAAGGATCCCAGCGCAGCTGGCCTTGCAGCGGACATGCACGCATGATCAATTCTCCCATGATGAGGTCGGCAGCTTCCTGGATTCGCAGCTACAGGCCTTCCCGCGCCAACTTCGGGAGGTGTGCTGGCGCAGGTTGAGAAGCACCTCGCAGAAGAGAGAAGAGAGCAAAATGCAAGGATTGCCATCACTGGGTGACTATACCAGCCTGTTGCCCAAAAGGTCAAGGTCTGTTTTGGAACCTGGGGAGAGGAGAGTTTTCCCAACCCTGTAGCCTGCAGAACTGACCAAGTTCCAGACTGAAGCAAATCGAGGCGGAGGAGGAGGCAAAGCGTTCGATGGCGAAGGCGCCCTGCTGCAAAGTCTTTGACCCTCAACAAATTTCACGTCCAAGTCTTGCTGTCACAGTGGGCACAGCAGGCAGCTGTGAAGGCGGATGGAAGACAATGCCAAAGTGCACCAGCAATCGCCGCTTCACTTCAATACACAAGCCAGAAGAATAAAAGTGCTGAAAAGCCAGGGATGAGGAGGGAATGGAACACCAAACCGCGGGTAGGCAAATTTGATGAACAACCTGAACGCTTGGCAGGGAATGAAACAATACCATCAATCTTATCAACCTTTGCTTTTGTGTTTTAGGGAAGCATGAAAGTCTGAAGAGTAAATGCTTGTGCTTACGGCAGCTCAAACACAAAAACCTTGGAGTACAAACAGTGCCGTTCATCAAGCGCTGGCAAGGAAACAGCACTCATGCAAAGGCGTAGGCGCTGCAAAAAATGGCATCAGGCATGGAAGCTTAGGCTGGGACGCTTGTTGTGCTTCCCGAGCCTTCGCAATGTGGTAAAATGCCGTGTCGTGGCGACACCATGTTTACTTGAGATCAGCCCTAAGCCCGTCACAGCAGCTCGGGATGGCAAAGGCCCAGCTCCCGCCTCCGAGCAACTGTTCTGCGCTCGCAGTGGCAGGTGCCACGTTCTGTGATGCGTTGTTCCACCCGCCCGGCTCCCGTGCAAGGCTGCGGGAGGGTTTACCACCATTCTGCCCCATCGGGCGCCTGCCTCCACCCCAATGCTGTGAGTGGTGGATGCAGGTCGTGTCTGCGACCGGCCGAAGCCTAAAGACGCTCTCAATGTGAAGTCCCTTCTGCGGGCCATTGACGTGTGAAAACAGCCTTCGCCACGAGATCCTTCACATTCGGCCTCGCTTTGAAGCTCTGTCGCAGAGGCCTGGCCAGAGGATACAATTTTTCGCCCAACCACCGAAACACCTCCAAAGGCTTGCTTGAGCCTCTGCTTGCTTGGTGGTGGCCGGCGCACTTCCCCTGGGCCTGCAGAAGCCATATTTGGCAGATAAAGAAGGCATCTTTTGGTAAGGCTGCGACTCACTCCGCTCTGGATCCATAAAGCTCGGGATGGCTCCGTGCCCTTCATTTTCAGGTGATTTACCTGGTGTCTCCTCCACGACTTTCATTTCCATCTCTGTCTGAACCGCTGCAGCAACTGCCGCTTGCTCTGGAACCTGACGAGCAAGAGCAACGGTGACTGCCACTGCTCTTAATGGCGAGAGGTTACAACAGCCCTCCCAGTCCTGCACCGCAGAGTCTGCGGTCAGAGCAGCTGCGGCAAATTGACCAACTGTCTCCTGCACATGCTGCTGCTGCCGTGTGCTGCTTGGAGGGAACTGTTTATGGGTCTGACTTGTCTACCGGGAGATGTACAGGGATAGATAGCGGGGTCACAGGTGTGCGGGGCCTTCGAAGATGCCTTCCGGAGCTCTTGAAGCTTTTTCTTTGCTGTTTGTAATGCAGTCGTGGCCTGCAACCCTGTTGTTCAAGCATGCAGCAGTGCTCCAGATCTAGTCTTTCCTTCCTGGCCTGGTGCAAAGAGCTTGCTGGAATTTCCGCATTGCACCGGTTGAGCCCATCTGCTTCTGCCTGCAGCCTGCTAGGCAACAAAGTCTACCTTTAGAGTTGGATGAAGCTTCAAGCCTGGTCTCCGCAGGGATGCCATCAGCAGGTGCTGCCGCCTGAGCCACCTGCAAAGATGGGCAACCAATATCTGGTTGCGTCTGACTGACTGAGTTCATGAGGTGGTGTGCAACAGCTTCGGCACTCCAACGCCCTGCACAGCGCTCGTTGTTTTTCGGAGTCCCCAAACGTCTCGCGGGCTGCAGACAGCACGCGTCGCGAATTGCAATTACACTCGGCTCCACTTGCCCAAGCAATTGAAGCGTTGGGCAGGTGGAGCACCCAGTGTCTTGGCCCCTTTGGCCCCTACGCTCCCATTGCCGAGTAGTCTGCCTTAGAGGGCTGCCATCAAGCATGCCGCGGCGCCCAACACTTTTTCAAAACCACAATCAGAATCATAGGAAAGCCTCCCATCCACTCTCATGATTTCTTGCTCCTGAGAAGAGCCTTGTCGGTAATACCAGTCAAGGCCTGTCTTGCAATCAAGCGACTATCAAGCTGCGTGGAGGAGGAGGGGTGTCCACTATGCCCACGAGTCCACGCGGAACCCTTTCCCAAGTCACTGGCGATTTTTTTAATCCTTGGATGAGCAAGGGAGGTGGAAGCGATTTTTGCTTGACACGCACTGTGACCAAAAACCGCAGAGAGCTAGGCAACCAAGAGACGACGTTTCGCGGGAGGGGTTGTCATGATTTCCCCTGGAGACTTCCACAAAGCAGTGGCTGGTTCACGTTCACTGCGGCTCTTTTTTGATGGCGTGAGTGGGATCGTCTCCTTAGCCCGCACAGTCAGGAATGCTTGCTCACGTTTCATACGGAGTGTAATTTGATCAGCAATGAGCCAATAACTTGGCAAACAGCTAACAGCTGCAGGTCTCATCGCGGAAATGCTAGAGAAACTCTAGGCAGGATTAGAGGTTCGGCGAGACACGGAAGCCAGCGCAGTCATGACACAAGAGACAGACTTTGGATTTTCGGCTTTTCCGCTACGGATTGCATCTGATTTGGCAAAGGCAGGGACATGCAAGCACTTTCACTGGTCTTCGAATTCTCTCTTGCGACAATGCTGATTTAAGGCACTTGCTTTAAAATGGATAGTCACTGGCGGTAGTGTCTGTCAAGCTATCCATGTGCACAATGGAGCGACCCAAGCTGACCTGGTGATTAACTCAGAAACGCGTGGGATTCTATGAGTGCCTTTGATGCTTGCAAAGCAGGAGAAGCAGGACAACTCTTGTTGGTTTCTTTGTGCATCCGTGCATCCCGACTGTGGACTCCAATGGAGGGCCTCGCCACATTTAAGACCACGGGAACATCCTTTGGTACAGCTTGCGGCTTGCCGTACCGCCGGTTCTCGATCACGGACGTCGGGATTCGCATCTTCTTCTTGTCGAAGCTGGACGCCTCTCACAAACTGATGGAATCAAAGGCCTATACCCTCGCATGACATGCTGAGAGCATGCTGTTAAGCGATGCTCATGTGTAGCATACCTTCTTAGTCAAGCAGGTCCTGAAACTGTACCATCAGCGTTGGCTCCTTCTGATTGGCGATCGGTGTAGTAGAAGCCGATGATGCTGTACTGTGCCGTCTTTTCAATCTAGACTCTGGGTTGACACCCAAAATTTGTCGTGCTCTGCGCTCGTCTTCTATGTCCACAGGAACGGCGCAATAGTATTGAAGCACCTGCCAAGCTTTGTGAGGACAAGGTGCAAGCGACACGAACCCCTTTTGAATGCATGAATTGGTGCCGCGTGCCTCGTCCATGGTGACCAGCTCAATGTCGCGCACATAGAGGGGCAACAGCTGCTGCTCCACAAAGCTTCCGAAGCAAGGGTACAATAGTTCACGGATCGCCGAACCAGGGTCAACTCCTGACATGATGGAGAGGCTCTCGCTTTCCTCTCTGAGCTGATCCATCGGAGCTTGCACAGCCTTGAGGAAACGGCCCGCCCGAACTAAAGCAAAATGTCTGATACGTTTGTATTCCTGGATGTCTGCCCTCTGCAAGCTTGTGCTAGAGGAGCTACATTCTTCAGTTTCCACAACTTGCAGGCTTTGCCGCACTTTGGCTGGCGCACCCATCACTGCATGAGATGAATCAGAATCCAGGACAAGCTGGCTTGTCACGGCCTCTTTGGCTGTGGAATCTGGCTTGTGGACCACTTGCCTGTCCTCTGTTTGGGGAATGCGCTCTTGAATGGCACCCAGATCCACGTTGTGTGCATCTCGGGGATCACGCTTTTTTCTACGTTGCTCCAGGTAAACAAGCCGCGCAACATCCAGTGACAGAGCAGCTTGAGAGCAAAGCTCACGAACATATTTCCATTTTGGAATATCTTCTGGAGGGCATGCAGGTGGACGATCGCCGAATCGCGACAAGGACTGCAACCTTTCGAGCAGCCGGATGCAAACAGGAACACAAATGTCAATATGATCTCTGTGGAAGGCGAGTTGTCCGCGGCCGCACTGAGCATCACCACCGCCACCCTCTCCACTTCTCAAGGCTTCAAAGAACAAAGGCAGCGCTGCCGAGAAAGCGAGGTGCATCTGATCGCACTGCATATGTAATGTAAAAGCATCTTTGAAGGCTTCCCATGTCTGTTTCTCTATTCTGCCACTTTCTCTAAACGAGCCAGCAGCCTCTAGCAAGCGTTGCAGCATTGCGCTGTTGCCCCATCTCAGCGGCAACCATTCAGGGCAGGCGCGAGGCTCTGCAGGCTCAGGCTTTTGCGGCCAGGCTACCAAAGCCATCCTAACTACCTTTGAACCTCAACGGGGGGAAAGCTTAAGCTGACATCCCAGAAACAGCTGGACAACTGTATCTCTGTACCCATGCAGAAGAACCTGCAACCTCCGCTGCGCTCACTAGCAGTATATTGTAAGCACGAAAGCGAATGCGCGACTTCATGCCGCATGTGTTCACTGTTTGAAGACTGCCTGCTGGAAAGCCGCCGTGCTGATGCCTTGGATGCGGCCGACTGCTTCATGCTTGCACGATCTGACCACATCGTAGGTGTGGCCGCCTTTTCTACAGCAAATGATCAGGTCCTTCGGGGCGAGGGGGGAGGCGCACCTCTTGCTTCAGCCGGCAGATCTGTTGCCGATAATTAAACATCTGCAGACTTGATCTTGCCATGTTGCCCTGCAGGAACTGCTGCGAGGTCTGGCCGGCATCGGACAATGATGCGAACCTCGGCTTAGTGCCCAGATTTGATTTAGCAGCCGCGGGTAATTAGGCAGTTCCCGTCCAGCTACGGAATTCTACTAAAGCAGACAGGCAGATTGAAGACTTGCTGGCCTTTGAGGCACCAGCACGGAACTTCCCGAAGACAAACTCATGGCCAGCGAGTTCAGTACCTCGTGGTCGAATTCTTGCAAGCTCAGCACCCAAACATGTCCAGCCTCTCCATGTTCAACTCGTCCTTCTGGTCCTAGGTTCCAAAGAAATTTGAACAAGAAAGTGCTGCTGCGCGCAGCAGCCACAGCTCTCACAAGCGATCGACGCTATGTACTTGGCACATTCCCAACCTGCCCGTTAAACCTGTCGACTGCAGGCGGCGGAAGATTGTGGGGTACAAGAGGCAATGTGGGGGAAGCCCGGGAGAGGAGAAGTAGTCTTAAAATCTAACAATCCCACACCGGCACCTGGGCACAAAGCGCGGAAAGTTAGGGCTACGGCGTTTTGGACTGTCGCTTGGCTCAGGTGAGAGGAGCCTACCCAAACTAAGATCGAAGTCGTGTTCTCCTTGCTGATGAGAGCAGCTCAGATGCCAACTGCATGCTTGATGCAGGCATTGCTCCTGGCAGCCCGCGTTGGCACCAGCCCTTTCAAATGCTGGACTGACTTGCCGTGACTGTCTCCTTCGCGCAGTTGTGCCACTTCAGCTTCCAGGGCCAGGAGTCGGGAAAGCATCTGCATCAGAAGTCATTGTGCACAAATGAACCCCCGTATGCCCGGCAGTCCATGCCATCCATTCCAGCGTCTGAGATTGGTCATGCAGACGCCAAATGAGTCACGCTCTGAAGTGAACGAATGAGGTACAAGTAAACACGATGTCTTGCCTGCTCTTGCTCTTCTGGAAATGTAGCTGGTGGAGCGGTTTCTGCTGGCAACACAAACAGGAACTGCTTAGGGTCATGCAAGCTTGGATCAGTTCAAGTCACCTTCGCACAAAGGCAAGCTTGCTAAAACACCTGCCTGCTCGCTCCGCACTGGTCCTCAGAGCTTCTGCCTAGCAAGCTGGTGCAAGTGCTGATTGGGTGTTCAACTTGAGCAGGCTCAGCAACAGATGCAACTCGCAGCCTTGCTGCGGTGCTTTTTCTGCGAGGAAATTCCAATACATTCCAAGTCATTCCAACATGTGTGCAGATCCTCATTGTGTTCTGCAGGCTAGAGCGGCTACATGCTTCTTCTGCGGCTGCCATGCGGCAACATTGACTGGTCCGCAGACTTGCACTAACTGGACCCTGGGTGAGATCATCTGGATAACATGTTGACGCCAGGCATGACCAGTCAACGACTTCAGCGAACGAAAATAAAGAGGAGTTCAGCGTAACATGCAATGCACATGAGGCGCACTCATGGCCAGTGCCAAGTGCTTGCGCACATTGTTGAAACACTTCGACTGGAAAAACACCTTTCGTGGGCCGCAGCTTTAGACAACGAATTCGCCAAAGCGGTCCATCACCCCCTCTTTGGGGAAGTTGCTTGACCTTGTCTAGCTGTTTTTCAGTGCATCAGGATCAGGGTGAGCTTCCTGCTCAAAATCGGTCTTTGCATCGCTGCCATCAGTCTGCGTTAGAGGTCCTTTTTCATCTCCCACCTTGTCAGATCCGCTGGCCGTAAGCAAGGTGGATTCAAGTTTCAAAATGCCCAAAATGCCCGGACGGCCTGCGCCACCTGGCTCTTCTGCAAAATGCTGCCCCAGATCTGGTACTGCCTCGCTGTTGGCATGGCGTCGTCAGGCACCTGGGGGTTCCACTCAAGAGGCTATTTTAGAAGCTATTGACCGACGAAACCATGCTACCTGAACAAGCAAGGAGAAGGCTGCTTTTGCATGCATGTCATGTTGGCTTGGGCAGCGCACGAAGTCGAAAGCTGTCTTGCCATCATCAGTTAGAGCCTCACATCGCAAGGACTTGCAAGTTATTAAGCTGTGACATCTTGTGATAACGTAATCCTTTCGGGATGTGTCTTGGCGTGCACGCAAAAACTGTTCAACACTTCAGTCCAAGAGTCGGCCACATCAGCCTTGTACCTAACACCAAGCCGGCTGACTCGCAGATACATGCATGCATGCATGTGCGTACGTATAAAACCCGCGCAAGATTCCGCAAGTATGGATACATGCATGTCTGGCTATGAGCATCTATGTGTGTATGTGCTGTAGATGTCGCCTCTTAGCAGAAGAGGCTGCTCTTCAGCTGCTTTGCTTGAACTTGCCCTTTCATACCCTTTCTATGCTTCAGTCAGCGACTTATTTCTGGTTTGGTGCTTGGGCACTCGAGGAGCAATTTGCAAACATCGAGTCTGCCAGACGACGCAGCGAAATGAAGAGGTCGGGTGCCATCCTGCAAAAGCAGCATCAGGGACGGGACGGAGAAGCGAGTGATAACCTCACCTTGCTATGAAAACCTGGCAAGCTTGTGTTGCACATCACATGCGAGCCATTCAGGAAATTTGCATTTTGCGCACCTCATCCTCCGCATTTGGGTTGGCCTTTGCGACCTGTAGCACACTCAGCGGGGAGAGGGGTAAGCGTCTTCTGTCGGGCCATGCATGTGCACGCCCATGACGTCACACACGCAGTTTTGTCTTTTGCAGTTCGAAGAGAACAGCTCGATTCATCATGGGAGCGTAGGGCGTAGGCGGTATGCAAGTGTGTCTGATCTCTCAAGCAGTGCTCGGAGGAATCAGGGCTGAAGATTGTGAAGCAGAATCAGAATTTCAGAGGAATCCTGACAGTGGCAGAATCGAGGCCGCTGCTAGCAGCCGTGCGCAGCAGGATGGGTAACCCGATTGCGCTGCATACCTCAGTGGCGTGCGCCGGCAGTAGTGTGGTGGAGCATTACTGACTGCGCTATCCATCTATACGCAAGGTTGCATTAAGGCCGTCATGCCGGGCTCCCGCAGCCCTTGCGAAGTAGATTTGGGGATGATCTCCTGCTCGCGCTTCATGAAGAAGGGTCGCCTTCAGAAGCGGCAGTCTTTAGATAGGGCCCTTTGGGTTGCTACTTGCCATGTCTGTGACAGAACCTTTTTGCCAAACCGGCATGTAGCCCGGCCTCCTATCAATAGGTATGCCTTCTGAGAGGATATTGGCAATCTCATCCTGATCACCCCATATTCAACTCGCTCAGATGCCATGCGCAGTAATATTCCACAGGTGGCTCCTCTCTGCCCTCTCTGGCTGCCACTAGCAGCTTGTGCACATTCATGGCCTGCCGCTCTCAAGCAAACACACGTTTGGGGCAACGAAGGGGTTGAAGGCCCCCATTTTGCGGACCGGGATTCATGTCAATCTAACAAAGGAAGACTCCATGTCCGGATTCACAGAGAGGGTTCAACATTTCATGCAACAGTCATGCTTTCGTGAAACCTGTTCAGCGTCGTGTGTCCGAAAATGTGTCGTGAAGAAATCTCCGTCTGTACATCCTGCAGAACTTGCAAACTTCTGAGAAGAATGACTGCCTGGATCCAAGACATGCAACCTCCCCGCATGTCTGCATGTTGGCAGGGATGTCTGCAGGTACCTCCGTGCCCGCCAAGTCCCCGTCTGGGTGGCCTCAGGCAAAATGGTGCAAGAAACAAGGGACGGCATCTGTTGCCGTCCGGTCTTCAATTTAAGATCCGTCCTCCAATGCCTGCACATTGCGTCATTGCATAGATATCAACCTTGGCAAGAACAATATAACCTGCTGGGCTACGCTTGCAAAGTGCGGCAAACACCTGCCAAAGAACCCCAGCATGTTCGACGCACGTCGTCTCGCAGGATCGTTGGCATGAGAGGACCTTCGTCCCTGCTGCGCCCATGGCTGGAAAACGCTTGCAACGCCCATGCGCACCTAGCAAAACTCTGGTGCTTGCTTGTCCTATGAGTGCAAAATAATGCAAAAATGTTTCGAGACTCTGGCCAAACAATGCATCACACATCAGAAACCCCTGAGACTCTGGACAGCTGCGCCCAGTTGCCATGTTCATCGAGAAAGCATGTCCGCAGGCCAAAAAAGTCTGCTTTTCAGCCCTGCTCTGCCCGCTCGGGCTAAAGGCCTCTTCTGCAAGCTCGGTGCTTTCCACTGTGTCTTCGTTCGGAACAATTTCAGCTTTTGTGCCGATGTCTTCCTGCGCTGATTTCCCTCCTACTTTACGGAGGAGAAGCGTGGGCTTGCCTTGCCTGCAGCTCCAGGAGCGGCGTCATGACTGCTGTGGCAAGACCGTGGAAATTCTCGGCGGCCTGCGCCTGGGCGCAGTGTGGGACCAAAGGAGTCGGAGGGATCAAGTTGCCTTCGCTAAGCCGCTAAGCGCTCCACACGTATGGCTGCCTGGCTGCATGGAACTCACCCAAGGTGTGTGTGTGTGGGTGTGTGTGTGTGTGTGTGTGCGCGTGCTGCGTCTGCGTCTGCGTCTGCGTCTGCTACTTTGCTCATCGAAAACAACACCACTGTAACACTTGACAAGCTCAGAGGGCGCAAAGAGGCGCTTTCGATGTGCACGTCGTGGCGTTTGGTGTTCAAACCTGTCTCGCGCAGCATGTGGAACACCGTGGCCAGAGCGTTTTGTTTGGTTAGCGCACCACAGGCTCAGAAGAACAGATCATTTAAAACCGGCAATAGCAAGCCACGACGCATGCTTCACAAAACTTGGACAGCGCCTGGACTGAGGCACAGACAAAAGCTCAAAAAGAGTTACGATTGATCAGCCTCCATTTCTTCTGCCCATGTAATCCAAGTTCGAAGCTACAGGGCATGTTGATGCATTATGTTTTTTTTTGGGGCTCAGAATTTCCTGGTCTCAATTGCGCCTCAACATTCCATAGCTTGAAACTTCCCAGATCTCCTCAGAACCAACGAATCATGAGTTGAAGATCTGGTCCCTCACACCCTGTAGTGCTGATCGGCAAGTCGAGACCCGTTCGTTGGCATAGCGACTCTGTTGACATGTTTCTTGTCCCCGTGGTGTAGGGCTCATGATCTGTGCTCGGCAATCATGGTTCTTCGCTGCTTGTTGTGGCGAAAGGAAGCGGGAGGCTGTGTTGCTTCGTGGACCATGCAGCAGTAGCTTGATGCCAGTCAAGACTGAAACGTGTAAAGACAAGAAGTGGCTGGGTCGAAATCCGGACGGCCTCGCCTTTGCGTCCATGGTCTCCGGCCTCACCAGCTACCGCACGGCACTTTGACCACACGTCACCTACAAAGTAAAGGATGCTGACCATCCTGGGGGGTCCGAATCACGGTATCCAGCTGCTGCTTCCCGCAAAGGTCCCAGCACTTCCAAGACGTCACTCAACGGTCCGGCATCGAGACCTTGTTGCGGGCGTGTTTTAGTCTTGCGGAGAAGTATCATTTCAAGTCACGGCGCCTACTTCCTGCTTAATCCTCCTCAAAAATGCCTGAAGGATTCAGAAGTCCAACGTCGTCTTTGGCAATCTTTGGCCTCGAGATCTTGCAAGCCTCATCATCACTGTCAGCTTCCCGGCCAGCTTCAAGACCTGTAGCAAAGCTCCGTGGCTCGCATTCATGTCTTTTGCAGGAACCTTCTAGTTTCGCATCTGAGCGCAGAGGTGCGGTAGCGCCCAGGACCTCAGTAAGTGCAATGTAGCTACCTGAGAACACCTAGCGACGGGGATACATATTCTCGGCAACTTGTTTTGCCATGTTTTGTCGGTCCAGCAAACCTGATAGGTCACAGCAGACCTCTTCGAGCAGAAGCTCGGTGCAAAGCTCGCTGTGCTTCACTTCGTCGAAATATTTGGAGGTGACTATCCCTCGTGAGAATGGCTGCCATGTCTCAGCACAGTCCATGTAAGGCGGGTCGCAGTGGTTCCCAGACCTCTTTCATAGCAACTCCGAAGTCAACTTGTTGAAGCACTTCAAATATGACGTGGCTCTAGTGCCCACCTGCTGGATGCTCTGAGCTCACAGCTTCAAGCCAAGACACTTTGCAGTTTCTTCAGCTGGCCATACTTCATCTGCTCGCGATGCCACCACATGCAGGTCAGAATCGATGACCAGAGGCGAGGCACCTACGTTCATCACTCAGGCTCTGACTGCTCTGACTCTGATCACCAAACGCTGCAGCTCTGACGGTGCCTGCCAAGCTGTCGCCAATGAGCATGTCAGCCTTCTGTGATGAGGCGATAGACTTCAAAAGGCCATCTCCAGGCCCATCCGATAACTTGATCAATCGCTCCTTACCGGTGTGACGGTGTGACTCTGTCTATGTCCGAAGTAATGGAAATCCAAACTTAGCTGAAAGCTTGCAAATGGCAAGCAAGCGCAAACAAATCCGGCGCGGCATCTGTCCGCTTGACATCTTCGGCGGTTGCAAAGTTTGCCACGAACCAGCGCATCCAGCCGATTGAGTCCAGGGCCCAGATTTCCTGTGAAACCCACAAATACCAAGACCAGTGGCTCCGACAGCACAAGCCTAGCCCAATCACATTTGCTTGAAACAAACCGCATCCTCGAAGGCAGGTGGCCGGTACCGAATCCTTGGCCCGGCTCTGCCAGCCACGTAAAGTTTCAATGGCTTGTGGCCCCTCTCGATCATCTCCAATGCCAGAGCGTAGCCTGAACTGAACTCAAGCGTGCCTCGAAAGAACTGACATACGGTCTCTCGGTGAGAGCAGGGATCCGAAGACTGCTGCATTGCTGGGGATCTGGCTTGCCGTCGCGCCCACAGAGAAGCCCAACAATGCAAAGGGACCGAATTTGTCCGTGAGGCCTAGAAGCTCGTCGGCAGCCAGCTTTGCCAGTGCCTTCGCAGTAGCCGATGCCCAGAGCATTGCAACACTTGCACTGCGGGCCTACGCGCCTACAGTGTCTACAGATACAGACGCCTGGCCTGTGCGTCTTCTTGCAGAGCCACGTGGCGGTTGGCCCCGTGTCCAGGCAGAGTCACCAAAAGCGGCTCGATGAGCGGGAAGTGCTCAGCAGTGTACTGGTTCCTTTATCTGGAGTGGGCTCTCAAGAAACCCGGGCTCAGCGAAAGCCCCCCTCTCAGTTGCACGTGCTTTGGCTGTACTTTCTGAGGGAAAGGAAGAGAGTTGATAAGTTGTGGCTTATAGTTAAACATGTTGCGCAAAGTTGGCTTCCCTGAACAAATTTCCAGGTCCTAGGCTCCAGTTTGCAAATCCTACTGCATCATGTCCAGCGCCGAAGAAGCACACCAGCCTAGGCTGAAAGGTTACCAACATTGTCCAGCAAGCAAGCGAAGGTCCCTGAAAAAAAGATGCATCCATGACGCCTGCATCTTGCGCTTCTGCCGTGCTCGTACTTTGCAAGCCACTTGCTTGCAAGAAGCGGCGGCAAAACCCCATATGCAGACCAATCCTTAGCATCGGCAACGTAGTTCTGCACGCCCACCTTCGGCTCAATCAGTCCATGACACGATGAGGCTTCCCCCCCCCCGGCAAACGCGGAAAATATGTTTACGCACCTTCTCCATCAAAGCTCGGCCCTGCAGCGTTGTGCTCACCCATCCATGAGTTGGCCCGACTCCAGACAGCAGTTCGTAGTGCAAGCGCTCGCCGTGTAATGTCAGCTCCTGGCTTGGACTCTTGGAGTCTGCTAATCTTTTGAGCGCAGGCCGGACTTCAATTGCTGGGACCATTGGATCCTTGGTCCATGCACGTCAGCACTGAAGGCAGGTATGACCTGGTGCTCCTTGACAATCGCATCTGTGGCCAGGCGCAGTGGGAGCTGCTCCGAGGCTATATCCGAGGATTGCCGCACGATGATACCGCCTGGTGTTAGTTCAAGCTGCTCTGGACAGTTGGCTGCCTTTTGCTGGCTTGAAGCTTCACCCGCTTGGCTTCAATAGTTACAGCCCAGCTCATTGCTCCTTCTCCGGGTCGGCAAGCTCTTTTTATGAAGATGAGAGTAGTAGAACTTCCAAAGTTCATCTTTTTTCGGACTGCAATCCCATGGAATCGATTCACTGCAGTCACTGACATGGAACTTACAGTTACAGCCTCTAGAATTGTTTCCGGCTTCGCAAAGGCCGTGAAATTCGCTGGCATTCCCTGGCCTTTTCCCACACCACCAACAACCTTCCACAGAACGTTTTCCATGTGCCCACTGCCACATCTGCACAAAGCGCAGCAAGATTTTGAGCTTTGATCTTGTGCTCCGTCTGCGGCACTTCTGTTATGCTGTGTTGCCATGCTGATCTACCATCTCTCGTGGGGACAGCATTTTGAACCTTCATGCAGCGCAAATCATGCCTGACGCAGCGCACTGGGCACATGCTCGTCTTTCCTTGCACGTTATGGCCCACACATTTTGGGTGGCTTGCTGGAAATCTGCATACCTCAGCTGGCAGCAGTCGTCACCTTCTGAACTTGGCTACCCGGACGCATGAACAATTTTATCTCCCCAAATTTCATGCAGACATGTGCCAATACTTTGCAGTGAGATTCATGCAACAAAGAGTCTTCCTTCTCCACTGACTCAAAATGGCTTCCAGCTTCCGGTCAGCTGGCAACCTTACCACGTGTGGGTCCCATGACCCAACGATGACGCAAAAGAGGCCCTCTGACTTCTGGGAGATCGGCGGGGCCTCCATCTCTGCAGCGGCGCTGCTTGCTGATGCTGCTACACCTGGTGTGGGGCCAACAGATATGCCACAGCTGGCTTGCTGCAGCGATGCTGCTCAAGTCTTTCTCCTTCGACGAACGGCGCGCATACAACAACCCGACCGCGCAGAGCAGCGTGGAATGAACTGCACAAGCACCCAAACATAGGAGAAGCTTGGCGCCGTCATGCCAGTTTGCACAATTGGCTTGCGCTGGTGCTCATTAACGTGTGCACTGCAAAAGCAGAAACGCAATCACCTTGGGTGATTCCCTGCTGTCAGGTGCGTTTAGCGATGCCAAATCTTTGTGGCTTCGCGATTCACCGTTTCAGGCCGTATCATGTTACGTACGTGCCCGATCTTTTCATTGCAAGAAAAGAGAACTTGTTGCCTGGGCAGAGGCAAATGAATAACAACTTGGCCTTTACCTCACCTGTGCTAGGTGCACGCTGGCTCAGCCAATGCTATCCTGGCTACCGATCATCTTTGTGACGCCGGATTGCAGCTTTAAGGCTGCCTCCTGCAGCGTCCACAATCTGTCAACAACAAGCAATCTGGTCCATGACTCCCCAGCTGAGTGCGGTCACCATAGCATATACTTACTAGCAGTGACCTTGCACTGGTGCCCTCGTGATGTTTTGCATCTGCGGTCACTGAGTCAAGCTGTAAAACCTCAACCTGAAGACTCACCATCAGCCTCCTCGATATGACCTCCATACAGCTTGTGGCCTCATTTTCATGAGCTGATCAACCTTTCGGAACGCGCACTTTGCTTTTGCATTCCGCCCAGCTGAGCTGCGTACCCCAAGCCACAACGGATCCACTCGAAGTGCGTGCAGCAAAGGCGTAATCATTTGCACACATGTCCAAAACCTGCCGAGGGAGTCTAAGAGCGCAAGCGACTAACGTTCCCTACAACAGCATAGCAAAGGCTACTTAAAAACTGCCACCGCCTCATGAGATTCAACGTCAAAACTTGAGTTTTGAATATTACGTGTGACTTCGGCTTGTCAACTTGCAAGCTGCCAAGAGCCTTCTCATCTCCGAGCTCAAACTCAGCCTTACTGGCTCTGCTCTGCATCTACACGAGAAAGTTGTACTGCTCGACTGATGGCTGAGGTTGGCTGACTGATGCTTGAAACTGCTATGTTGTCACTGCATGCTGGCCAACATGCCATAATACAAGCCAATACGCACTCCTATCATGGTTTCTGCAAATGCCAAGAACAATCAGTCAGTAGAACGTGTTCTGGCACGTCTTAAACTAGCCGGATTGCAGGTTTCGAATCCCCACCACAGCTCGGTTCGCCCCAAGCGCAGATGGAGCCATCTTGCAGAACCGCAGCGAAAGCCCGGGAGGTCTTGTACAAGGCCACGGCTCCACCTCCGCTGCACCATGCACAACTACCCTTCGACTGCAGTCCCTAGCTAGCTGAAACTGCGAAGCAAGATCCCAGCTTTAGAACTTCTCCATTGTGCCTGCCTGCTTGTCGAATTCTGTCTTCAACCATTGAGGTGTCACCCCCAGAGGCCGGATCGCCCCAACAAACAACTGCACCATCGTCTCTTCGTGCTGCAAATGCCCAGTCGTTTGCCACCACCTGCCTGCAGGTTCAGGCTCTGTGTGACGTTATAGCATGAGGATCCATCCACTAAGCCACTAAGGCCAAGCGGCTGGACGTTGCCGATCAGCATGTGAGAGACCGCGCTGGAATCTCCACCAGTCTGGGCATCACCCCACGTCATGACAGTGAAGCCATTGCCTCGACTCTTCTACCCAATCTGCCACATGATCTCAGGAAAAAACACTCAGACAAGCGTCTCATGGGATCATCCCTCAAAGCTGCGAAGGCCTTCAAGCTGGGGATGACATCCTCTGGAGCAGGGGCCGAGAACCGAGCAGCGAAGTTTTTGCATGGACAGCGTGCACTTAAAAGATCGTTAAAGCAAAGCGATGCGAAATGTCTAACCTCGGACTAAGGCCAAGCACATGGCAGCTCCAGCTTTTGCTCGGGCGTTTGGAGGGACTTGTGAGAGGAGGCGTTTTACAGGGAAGACACCTCCTCCCTGACAGCCAGCCCTAGATCAGATAGCCCGACTTTCCACAGAACTATGGGTACAGTAGGTGGTCTGATGGTCTGTGTGAAACTTTGCTGCCGACGGGTATCCACGATGCTGTGTCGCATGAGATGGCTTGCAGCACTTGCATCACCGCCGAAATCCGGATTGCCCCACGCGACCACGGCTCCGTTGTCCTGGTGCAGACTGGACATTGGCACGGCTCTCGGCTCAAGCTGCGCAGCACCTGTCCTTGATGGCAGCAAATGCACGACCGTTGGTCCGAATGTCCCGCACACCGGCCTAGGGTTGGCTTTGCCGCACCTAAAACCCGATGACTTGCAAATTGAAAGACAAACTTCAATTCAAATGCACACTCAGACTGACTTTCAATGGGCGTCCGTGAGCTGTGCAGCGACAGCTGAGGTGTCCCCGCCACAACCAGGAGCACCCCAGGCAACCACACGACCGCCTGGAAGAGAGGGCGTTGCAACCACGACAAGCAAACACAATACTCACCATAACAAGACACTTTCTCACCACGGCAAGCAATCTACCACAGCAGCACGACAAAACGCTCAGCTTTTTGGTTGTCAAGTGCTCTTCTACGAGCTGCCGGATTTCCGGCGTCCGACTTTCCAGGCAAACGTTGAACCGCTCTACAAGAGCTTTGCGAACAGCGTCCCCCTTTTCAGAACACCAAAACGTGCACTCCCGCTGCCCCCCCCCGCCTCTCAGAGCCCCAAATTGCCTGGGAGCCCAAAACACTAAAACGTGTACTCCCGCTGCCCGCCCTCCCCCCCTTCTCAGAGCCCAAAATTGCCTGAGTACATCTCAGAGCCCAAAATTGCCTGGGAGCACGCATTTTGGAACTTTCAAGTGCCCAAAACACTAAAACGTGTACTCCCGCTCCCCCCGCCCCTTCTCAGAGCCCAAAATTGCCTGGGAGCACGCA